CACGTCATGATCCTGGAGTCCCTGGATCGAGTCCCGCATCGGGCTCCCTGCTCGGCAGGGAGTCTGCTTCTCCCTCTGACCCTCCCCCCTCTCATGTGCTTGCTCTCTCTCATTCTCTCTCTCTCAAATAAATAAATAAAATCTTTAAAAAAAATTATGTAGATGGCTTGCCTTATATTAAACAGTGCTGGACTGGACTGGCAAATCTACACACACGCACACACACATGTGTAAGTATGTAAAATTTTCTCCATCTTCCCACCCTGTGCATAAAATAAGTAATGTCCTCCTTCTGCTAGTCTGTGGTCTTCTTGTACTTTGAGACTCAATCAAGCCTTTCTTGACTGAGCACTCCCCATGGCCCAAATGCCACTATGTGTAAATAAGAGAGGCTACTTGTACTGACTTTGGTTTTCTTACAGCACCTTGGTCCTCACTATCGCACATGGTGTTGGCCTGTCTTACCTCTCCATTTGAGGTAGAAGCCACTTGAGGGAAGGAAGATCATATAAGAGATTCTTTGTACAGTGTCATGGTTTCTGCTGCACATGGCTTCACTCTGCTTTCAGTTGGTGAGGCTAGCAAGTATTTGGTGACTAGCGACTCTGCCCACATATACCACCACGACATTTTGCCCTTTCTGAAATATATCCCAATTATTCATTTTCTAAGAATCTAAAATCGGGAGTAGAGCTCTCCCTGTATAAAGTCAATAATCTTTTTATGTAGGGCAGCTAAGCACTGAGTGCAGAAGAATAAGAAAGAAGGAGAGCTTGGGGATGGTGGAAAGAGAAAAGACCTTGGAGGAAGTAAGGTTTGGAAGCTTCATTTCCTCCTGGAGAGCAACTCCCCAGAATGGGCCTCTGAGTCATAGGGTTAACCCCCCAGAGTCACCTCACAGGACAGAGATGTGCCCACAGTCACCCAGCAAGGATGGCCCAATGCAAGCTCCCACCTCTTCTCCCCTTAACCCTGCCTCTCCTTTCAGATGGAAACCTTCCATCTGGGGACCACAAACTAAGCAAATGGTTGGAGGCATTTTGCTGCCTGCAGCTGTCTCCCCAATTGCTGACTGGGAGGAGGAGTAAGGGGAGTTCATTATAATTCATTTTTGTAAATGTTCAATATTTCAATTAATGTGATTAGCCCCAAGCCTGAATGAGCAGCAGGGCGGCAGATCTGCTGACAAGACACAGAGTAACAAGATCAACAGGGCCGTGGGGTCTTCCTAGGCTCCATCCTCAGAGGGTGTGATCTGTTTAGCATCTCCATAAATACCGAGATCTGATTAAGAGGCAAGGCAGGGAGCAGTAAGGGTGGAGTTGGGAGTGGAAAGTTACTTTCCAGATGTGCTTGCACTCTTGGTTCCCTGGCACTGCCATCCCGTGTTCTGACCACCCAGTACTGGGTGCTCTACCATCTCCCCTCCGTGCCCATCTTAGGGCCCCAAATGGGAGGACCTGGGCATCCATATGATGAAGTGTAATCATATTTACACACACACACACACACACAAACCCAAGCTAAGGAAGGATGGAAGGTGGTCAACAGAGAATCAAGCAGTAGAAAGAAGGTCATCTCTCACACAGGGCTCAAATGAAGACACAAGAGGAAAAAAGCCAGGCTTAACAACTCTTCCCATTCCCATGGGGAGCATTTGATGTGGGGGTTAAACTCAGGACTCAGGAGCCAGATTGCCTGGGCTCCACCCTCACTAAGTCTTCTTTCTAGCTCTGTGATGTTAGGCAAGCCATTTTATCTCTTGGTGCCCTGGTTCCCTCATCTTTATTTGGAGGTAATGGTAGAACCTACATCATAGGCTGGTGCTGAGGGTTAAACAAATTAGTAAATATAAAGCACTTGGAACAATGTCTGGGACACTGTAAGTGTCTTCTAAGCACCCTTACTATTACTTCCCTTGTTGAAGAGAAGTTTGCCTGCCGTGATAGCTCAGGAATGGGGGCGGCTGGAATTCAGTTGGGACGTATTTCGTATTTCAGAGACACCAGTGCCACTATGGAGACATCAGCCCCACTCTGGGGTGAAGAAGGAAATGACAGTAGAGAGGGCATTCCACAAGGGCTGCAGGCAAGGACTGCCCTGTCCAGGAGAACTGATGTCAGCAGGTACTCCCTGCACTGAAGGGTGGTGTGAGAGGGCCCAGCACATGGAAGAATTAAGCTCCCTTGAGATTATGGGGGAAACAGATCATCCGTAGAAGAAGAGTTTTTTAGGAGAGTAATGGCCCCCAAATGTACTCCCCCCATCCCTTTATGTTACCTGGTTCACTTTGAGAGTCCTACTCAAGGAACCTAACTGGGAGAGGGGGGCAAAGGGAGAAGAAATTGGGTTTCTTCTGCCCTGAACCAGAGCTTGCCTTCTTTGGTTCTCGCCCCTCCCCACAAAGGAATCAGGGATCTGCTCTTGTCAGAGGTTCTTTTGCATCAACTGTTTATTCAAAAAATAATTGTTTAGCAACTACGCATGAGCAAGACACTGTGCTAGACCCCAAACAGTAAAATCCTGAATTAAACAGTGCCCTGGTCTTCAAGGAGCTTACAGCGATAACTCTCGAAGTCATCACCACCGCCGCCTCCCTGCCCACACACTTACACACACAAACCACCCAGAGGGAGAGAAGGGGGTGTTGGCAAATGCCAGCAAGACATAGTTTTTCTTGGATCTTTTTCTGGAAAATACACAGTTCTCTCTCTCTGCGCTCATTTCACCCCGCCCCCCTTTCCATCTTTCCTCTCTGGGTACCCTTCTGCCCTTTCCCCCAGGCTCTGAGACATACTTCCCACCCCATCTACACCTCCCTCCTCCCCCCACTCCCAACCTGACCAACTGTTCCTATGCCATTTTCTTTTCCCCGGATTCTTTCCTATACTGCCCACACTCAGTCTCCCCAGATGCTGGCTCCCCTCTCCTCCTCCCCCCTGCTCCCCTCTCCTGGGTCTTCTCTTCCAGCACCGGGGACAGCTCCAGCCCCCGGAACAATGGACCCCACCTTAGGGCTCCTCTATAAATTCTCCATCTTAGTGTCTTGCCCAACTCGTGATTGGGGAGTAAGATGGGGGAAGGGTTATTATCAACAGGACCAGCCGCTCTTCTGGGGGTGGGAAGGGAGTCGGGAAGGAAGGAGATAGAAAGAGGGCGTGGCTCTTGTCTGGATTGTGCGTCCCTCTCCAGGGTAGAGAATTTGTATTCCACCCCTGAGACTGACATCACTGATGTCAGGGGAAAGGAGGTGGGAGTGGGGAGGGGGGTGTGGAGGGGGGAGGTTTTTGTTGAGGAGAGCGCGGCCAGAGAGCAGAGCTCCGGGACCCAGGTGACCGGGAAAGCAGGCAGCCCCAGCAGCGGGAGCAGCCAGCAGCAGCCCAGGCCCGGGGACCAGGGTGGGGGTGGGAGGGGGGCTGAGGGGAGGACCTGAAGGGGGGCGGCAGGGCAGAAGGGACCCCCGGAGCCCTGCCGCCATCAGAGATCAAGCATCTGGCATCAGGGATCTTCGGACCCAGCAGAAGGATCAGCCACAGGGGAGGTGTCCTCCCGGGAAAGCCAACGAGAGCTCCACCTGCCCCACATCAGGAGTGCCCCCCCCCACCCGACGCTGCTGGCAACCTACCAGGCCCCTAACCCCTAAACCTCCTTCTCCTCAGGCCCTTTCCCGACTCCAGCTCTTAACCCCCAGTTCCCAGCACCCCTGATACCACCCTAATCCTCCAGATCTTGAGCACACTGACCCCCATCCTGGGATATTTGCCAAATCTCTGAGAGGGAGATCATTTGTTTGGGCTATGCCCCCTGGTGGCATGACAGTGTCTGCCTAGACCCCTGACCCCTAGTCCTCAACTCCCTGGGCCTCCTTTGTGTGAAGAGCTGCCCCTCTCCTCAGCACTGTGGTTGGGGGCCAAAGGGAAAGCCAGCCCCGGCTGGGCCCCGGCCCCCACCACTTGCCTCCTTGCTGGGCAGCTCCCCCTGGCCTTTGGGCTTCTCCCTGCTCCCCTCGGCCCCTCCTCCTGGGCCGCCCCAATGAAGGAGCCGGATGCCATCAAGCTGTTTGTGGGGCAGATCCCGAGGCATCTGGAGGAAAAGGACCTGAAGCCAATCTTCGAACAGTTTGGTCGGATCTTCGAGCTGACTGTCATCAAGGACAAGTACACCGGGCTGCACAAGGGTGAGGGGTCAGGCCAGGCTGGAGAGGTGGTCAGGGGTGGGAGGGGAGGCTGGGAAGAGAGGAAGCCAGCCTGGAGGGCTGGAGTGGCTGGAAAGGGCTGATGTGGAAGGAAAGAGTTCAGGGGCTAAGGAGTGGATGGAGGACCTGGAAGAGAACAGCCAGGGTGAGCAGGGGACTCTGATGCAGGCCTAAAGACAGCCTCTTTGGGGGAAGAGTTGTCGAGGAGATGCAGAGATGTGGATCCTAGAGATGAGAGGGTAGTGTCATGGATGAACTCAAAGGAGGTTGGAGGATCAAGAGATCTGGTTTGGGAGATAAGGAGCCTGGCAGGGGTGTGTGTATGTGTGTGTGTGTGTGTGTGTGTGTGTGCGCGCGCGCGCGCGCGCGCGCATGTGCATGTGCGCGCACGCCTGAGAATCTTAGTAGTCTCAGACACTATTGGGGTGGGGGTCAACCTGGCATGAGTGGACATGGACTGGGCAGGGCAGATCCAGGACCCAAGAAAGGGACCTGAGAAGCAGGGTGTGGAGGACAGAGACTGGTATAGATCTGGAAAGTGTGGGGGCGGGAAGTTAAGAGAGCCTGGCCAAGCGACACTCCTTGGGCCTGTCCAGGGCTGTGCGCTCTTGCTAAGCAGGGTCAGGCCCCGGTCAGGACTTGGAGAGCTCCAGACACTGGGGATGGGGGTGGGGGCCCACTGCTTCCCCCTCCATTGGCCTGGAGACTTGCAGTGAACTGCTCTCCCCTTTCCTTCTCCTCTATCCCACTCTCCACCCTCCACCTGCCTCCTGCGGAATTGGAGAGAGATGAGGAAATAGGGAAAATGGGAGAGGAGAGGGGTGATGGGGACCAAGATGGAGGGAGGTAGAGGCAAAGGAGAAGGGGAAAAGAGGCCAGCGAAGGAAGAGAGAAACCACACCACACACACTTGTCTGACAACCACATGCCCCTTCTCCCCCCACACAAAGCCCCCTCTCCCAACAGTCCCCTCTTCCAATGCCGCCACCACAGAAACCTCCCAGGCTCTGGGTCTCTGCCCTGAGTTCAGCAGCCCAGAGACTCCCTGGGGCAAAATGTCTGGCCCCTCTCAGATACCTTCCCACTTCAGCAGCCAGAAAGTGGCAAGAAGAGACAAGCCTCCCAGTCCTCAGTCTCATGGTTGGGGGGAGCCTTTTAGGGAGGGGAGATCAGGGACTCACCCCCACCCGGTCTCTCTGCCCCTGCCCCTCCTCAGGATGTGCCTTCCTGACATACTGTGCCCGCGATTCAGCCCTGAAGGCCCAGAGCGCCCTGCACGAACAGAAGACGCTTCCAGGGGTGAGTCCCATATTTGTAGGGCCAGAGGGCTGAGAAGGGCCCTAGAAAGGGCAGGGGGCTCACCACCTTCCTGAGACATGGAGCTCATTTTCTACCTCCTCTCATCACCAGGAAGGTCCCCTCTCCTTCTAACACCCCTCTTTCTTGCTAGAGATGCATTCATTTCTTCTACCTGGAGAGAAGGAAGACAGCGATTAGCAGAGCAAATGTGACCTTTGTAAGGAGCAACCTGCTCGTGGGGCAACACAGAGAGAGAGAACTTAGCTGGTTGGGAGGCGTGGGGACAGACTCTGGACACCAAGTGTGTGGCAAAGTAAGCAGGAAGCACCCAGGCACTCTTGTGGCTCTGAGGGTGGGATATCTGGCTGTGACATGGACAGCTGGTGCCTGCTGGACTAGCATCTCTGAGCGGGCTTCTGAGCTCTGACAGACTCACCTCGTGTCTTCTCGGAAGAGCTTTGGGCATCAGGGTGGAGCAGGGCCTGGGTGGGCCTGAGCTGGGGGGCAAGCAAGGGCAGGGGCAGACATCATTGCAGAGGATCAGGCCTGACCCCCAAAGGGTGCCCAGGTCAGCAGGGGTGCCCTCTGACATGGCCTCTTTCCTGAAAAAGTCAGCTCTTTTTCTCTTCTTCTGAGACAGCCTTGCAGATTGCCCCAGGCCTGGACTGGCAGCGATAGAGAATCTCAGGATGCCTCCATCCAGGCAGCCTGGGGGTGGGGAAAGGATGTGCCATTTTATTCCGCTGTCTCTGTGCTTCTGTTGTCTCCCACCCCCTGAGCCCCAGGACTGAGAGCTAACCCCGTCCATCCCTTCAGTAAACATTTGCTGAGCACAGCCTGGGTGCTGGAGACACACGTGTCACAGCCTCTAGCCCTCCCCCCATGTGGGAAATGGAGAAAAACGCTGATTCTCCATCCCTTCCTGGGCGGGAAATAGACAAAACAGATGGGCAAAGGGAGGGGGCATCCAGGAACATCAGAACCACTTCACCCACTCCCAGCTTCCAACCTTCAGAGGTCTAGGACCCACCCCCTCTGTGGCCCTCAACCCTTGAATATTGCCCGGAGAGCAAAGCCCGCCACCCGCCTGGCTCTCACCCCTCCGTCTTGTCCTAGTTGGTGGCAAGCCAGCCAGAACAGCCCTGGCCCATGGAATTAAGGATCTGTGCATGCGTGTGTGTGAGCAGGCTCAGGATCCAGGGAGCCTGTGTGTGCGCGTGCGTGTGCACATGTGTGCACGTGCGCCCGCCAGCCTGGCTGTGTGGGTGTGGGCACACGCATCCCTGGGAAGCCTGGTTTCCATCACGTCACGTCTCAACTTTCCTTTCTTCCCTTTTCTCTGTGGAGACCCCTGACAAATCAGTAGTTTTCATCTCCGTCGCCACGTCTCGTCTTTTTCTGTCTCGCTAGCCGGGCATCTGCCCTGGGTCGGCCCCCTCCAGCTGCCTGCATGCTCAGGCAGGGCTCCAACTGTCCGGGTGTGGAAAGGCTCTGCCTCCCCTTCCTGGAAACAAACAGGCCCAGGGTGGGAGGTGAGGGAGAAGGGTACCTGGTTAATGAGTGTCTAGCCCTGCCCCTGAGCCAGCTCCCAGGTGACGCTGAGGCCTCCACTTTGGCCTTTGCCTCAGGGGACAGGATCCAGATTGGCCTGACAGAGCCTCTAGTATAGGACATGGGCGGGGGGAGGGGGGGAGGGGGGCCCATCCTCCAAGGGGACCCACGTGCTAGGGGCTTGGGGGAGCAAATCAGGGCAGTCTAGGGGAGCAGATGTCTGTGGCCAGGCTCTGCCTGACCCTTTGTATCCCCCAGGTCTTTTCTCTGCCTCCTGCCTTCCTGGCAGCATTGTTTCCTCAAACAGTCTCGGCTGTTTAGTGTGCCAGCTCTGTGGAAAGTTCTTCCTGCTGTCTAATCTCCCTCCACACCCTCCTAATACAGGCTTTTTTTTTTTTTTTTAAGATTTTATTTTTAAGTAATCTCTACACCCAACGTGGGGCTCGAACTCACAACCCCGAGATCAAGAGTCACATGCTCCACCCACTGAGCCAGCCAGGTGCCCCAAAACAGGCTCTTTTTTCATGGGGGCATTTAGCTCTCTCTCCTTTCTCCCCATCTCTGTCACCCCGGAATCTGCAAGGTGCCACCACATTAGGGTGATGCTTCGGCTGCAGACAGGAAGAATGGAGGCTGGGCCTGTGGCTGTCAAGCCCCGTTTCCTTTTCTCTCCCCTGATCGGTCGCAGGAGGGGCTCAGCCACAGTCCCCTGGATTCTCCCTGCCCAGAGGGTGTGGCCTCCTGGAGGTGGTGGTGGGAGGGAGCCAAAATCCCACTCTGGGGACGTGGGCCCTCCCTGTCGGCTTGCTGTTGGGCCAGTGAATTCTGGCCCCGTGGAAAGGACCCGTGTGTGGTCTGGGACACCGGGTGGAAGGGAGTCCGGAGCCAGGGGTGAGAGAGCAGCAGGCCTCTATCCCCAGGAGAATTAGATTTTCTGGAAATATAAGCTCTTCCTGGCAGTGGGGTCTTTGCTATTGGTGAGAAGGATGAGGGCCTTATGAGTGACCAAGTCGTTGGGGAGTGGTCTTGAGTGCTACTTGGAGTATAAATAGCCTCTTCTTCTTTGGGAGGCCCTCGGGAGGGCTTATCATCTGGCTGATGGTGGCTAGGGAAGAGAGGCGCCCGACTCCGGGTTGCCAGGTAAACAGGGCCCAGCTGGACTCAAGGGAGGGGGCAGGTGTGCCCAAGCTGAGCTAACAAAGACCGAGCTTCCCACAGGAAGGTGCCAGGCCAAGAAGGAGAGCCTGGGCCTGGGTCACTGAGGGCCACTGAGGGAGGCTGGCTATCTGTAGGGGAGCGAGGGGAGCCTTCTGTCAACGTGGTCTGCACTGTGGCCTGTGCGCTTGCGTGTGTCTTTGTGTGAATCCCTATCAGCTGTGGATATTTATTGAGGTGCTATTTTTGTGCCTGGAAGCCCGTGCAGCAAGGGAATGGCATCCTTTCTCTCTGGGTCGCAGGTTCCCCACCCTCGATTAGAACCGCAGATCCCTAGGGGCATTTTGGGAAGGGGTTAGTGTCAAGTAAAGAATTCCCTGATGCTGTGGAAAGACCCTGATTCGGATTCTACCTCTTCCGTAGGGGGTGTGGCTGGTGCTGAGGTGCCCGTGGGGCACCTCCTGATTACTTTACAGAGAGGAGGAGGGTGCAACACTGAGAGCTCTGGGCAGCTAACCCCCACCCCGTGCACACACCTCTCTCTCTCTCTCTCTCTTTCACACACACACACACACACACACACACACACAAGCTCCTGAGGAGATTGAACCTCCATGGGATAATCCCAGATTGGTGGAGGATAAAGCTGGGAGCAGATTGGCTGGAGGATTTGGGTGACTGTTACCCACCTCCCCCCAACCAGCTGCTCTCGGATCCATAAATGGGGGTGGGGCAGGACAGGAGTGTCAGCTGAGGTGGGGCTTAGGTTTGATCCAGGGCTGGGGATACCTCACCAGCAGAGTCCTGTCAGACTGACTGGAATGGCCTGATACCAGGGAGGGTCTGGTGTGAGAAGGGGCAAGGGGCAACTATCAATCCTGCACTTCTCTGTGTGAAGTGATGACACACAAGATCCCCAAAAGCTGGAACACTAGAGCTGAGGGTAACCTGACTCACCACCGCCTGATCTGCCCCACTATTTTACAGATGAGAACATTGAGGCCCTGAGGAGAGAAGTGACTTGTCCAAGGTCACCCAGCTAGTGAGTGGTAGGGCCAGTCCCTGAACCCGGGTCTCCTGACCCCCAGTCCAGTACCTTGCCTGAGGATACCCGTGGCCCCCCTCAGAATGTTGATAAATGGTTTCTTTTGTTTAATATCTATTTTTGGTCACTGGAGCTAGGATGCCCCCTCAATAGCAAAATATTTTCAGACACGAAATCCTGAGTGCTTCCACTCCCTCCAGTTCCGAAGATGCTCCCCGCTAGTTAAGGAAATCAACCTGCAGAAGTCACTGCTAAGTCCCCTCACCAGACAAGAACGTGGAGAGTGGAACTGGGGGGTGTCTGCATTTCCACTGGAGACTGAACAAAGGGAGATGCTGCAGGAGTGAAGAGAAGGGAGAGCTCTGGAGGACTTCAGGGTACAGGGAGAATGTCAAAAGAGCACGGGACAGCAGTTCCTCCTTCGGAGCCCTCTCAGCTGTGAGACACCAAGGATTTGATTTGGAGGAGGAAGGCAGAGGAAGGGACAGTGTGGCCCCAGCAGAGCCTGCTCAGCGCGAATCAGGAAGCTTGTCCTGGGCCCCTCCCCCACCTCCCAGTCCCCACCAAATCCTCCACCCCCAGCATACCCTGTTCTCACCCCCCCACACTCCTTCGCCGGGTGTGTGGAGCAGCAGAAGTGATGACGTCACCACGGTCGCCAGGGCGACAGGAGGGATAAATCAGGCTGAGTGGGCGGTTGCCATGGCTCGCATTCTCCCGTTGCCACGGAGACTGGGCATCTGCTCCCTTTGTGCTGCCCGAGTGCCTTCCCCCTGGGGTCAAGGGGTGTAGGGGGGCAGATAGAGAAGCAGACACACCTCTCGGGGTCAGAAGGAAGTCGGGGCATATGTGGGGTGTCCCTGGGTCGACAGTCCTCCTTGGGGCTGCTTATTGGAGTGGCCTCTGTTGCGCCTACTTTGCAAAATTGAGGCAGCTTTTGCTGAATAGCCCCTTGGCTGGGCTCTGTCTCAGGACCCAGGTCCTATGGGAAGTTCCATTCTCCCCCTAAAGCCGGCATCACTTATCCCTGGCCAAGTCATCTGGGGCCTCACCGGAGCCTGGAGCTGGCCCCAGGAGCATCCTCCTCTACATCTTCACCTTCCACTGCCTCTAATCCCCTCGGGTCCTAATCCTAAACAAGATTAGGCCCATCCCTTCCTTCCCATCAGCAGTTTAGGGCCTGGGGTTTACTCCCTCTAGCCTCTCTGCAGGTCCCGGCCTGGGGAGGGCTCCTGGGGGTTCAGAGGAGGTCCCCAGCAGTTGCCTTCTCTTCTCTCCTTTTAGATGAACAGGCCGATCCAGGTCAAGCCGGCCGACAGCGAGAGCCGAGGAGGTAGGTGCTGTACCTTTGGACTTTGGATTCAGGCCCAGGGCTTCGAGTAGCTGAGGGGCAGCCTCTCTTGAGGAAGAAAATCTGAGAATTCCAAAGGGTTCCTGGTCAAGGTGGGGATTGAAGTCAGTGTGGTCAGAGGGGATGTCATCCAGCCCATTGTAGAGATGGCAAAACTGAAGCCCAGAGTAAAGTGCAAGCCCTTCAGGAACTGGACTGAGCCCTCTATGTAACTGTACCCCATTTCCCCAAACATCACCGGTATCATATGTTAGAAGCCTTAGTCCCAGGGTGGGGAGTGCCTGGACCTCCAGGGAGTTGCTGAAGGTGAAGGGCAGGATTTCTGCCTGTCCCAAGCGGGAATAGAGTTGGTAAAGCAGCCAGGGCGCCCTGAACATGCTCCTCCTGTGCCTTACCTCCCAGAAGACCGGAAGCTCTTTGTGGGGATGCTAGGGAAGCAGCAGACAGATGAGGACGTCAGGAAGATGTTCGAGCCTTTTGGGACCATAGACGAGTGCACTGTGCTCCGGGGGCCAGACGGCACCAGCAAAGGTACCCAGTCGCTACCCCTTCCCCAACCGGCCCTTCTGGCCTTCCCGCTCCTCTCCCACTGGCTTCCCGGCAACGGGGACAGTGGGGGCCCTTGAGGGTGAGCACTCACCCTTTCCTCCTTGCTCTTGGATGCTGTAGGCTGCGCCTTTGTGAAGTTCCAGACCCACGCCGAGGCCCAGGCGGCCATCAACACCCTTCACAGCAGCCGGACCCTGCCGGTGAGCCCCCCTCACATTCACATTTCAGATGACATCTCCCCACCTCTGGCCCCTATCCCTATCCCTCACATCCAGTCCGCATGCCCTGCCCTCCTCCCTGGCCTCCTCCACCCCTCAGGCTCTCCATCTCCTGTCTCTTCCCCCACCTTCCCATACCCCCCACCCTCACTGGCTGGGCGCCAGAACACTTGCTTAGAGGCCGCACGTGCCCTCCGCACATTAGCAGTGGGTCAACCGACTGTACTCGTGGAGGGCTCTCCAGCAGGGCAGAGTTCTCAGATGGAACTAGCTGATTCTGAAGCTCCCTCAGCAGAGGCTGGGCATTTAGCAGGAACTTGGTCAAAAGGATGCAACACTGAACAGAGAACTGCATTCTAGATTCCAGGATTCTACAACACTCTCTGCAAATGTTCTTGGGTTTGGTTTTTATTTAGTGCAAGGTAGTATGAAAACTTGAGGCTTCATCCTCCGAGCACACTGTGAGGTTTAGGGTGCGGGGGTAGGAGTCACGGTGCGGGGGCTGGGGTGGCTGGCCAGCACCACCAGCCTGGGATTAAATATTCTCTGTGGCCCTTCCAACCTGGGGATAATTTCCGGCTCAGAATCCTCACAGAAAAGCCAGGGATGCCCTTTGGATGCCAGTAGGCCTTTCCCTTTTCAAGCACATGCCTTCGGGTTTCTCAACTTTTTCTAGTCTCTTGCACGTCCTGGCACAGGGGGAGGCTGGGATTAAAATCTTCCCGTTTGACAGAGGCACTACGATGGCTGCCCTCCAAAGAGGCCAAGCCTGGAGGGGTGGAACTGAGGCCAGGCCCTGAGGGCTCTGGGGAGGAGAGATCCCGACTCTGTCCCTCTAACCACATGCGTGGCCCCTGCCCAGGGTGCCTCATCCAGCCTGGTGGTGAAGTTTGCTGACACGGAGAAGGAGCGAGGTCTCCGCCGAATGCAGCAGGTGGCTACCCAGCTGGGCATGTTCAGCCCCATCGCCCTGCAGTTTGGAGCCTACAGCGCCTACACCCAGGCCGTGAGCACTGACCCCTGGGTGCTGGGCCTGGCCCATCCCCGCCTCCTCCTGGCCTCCAGGACCTGTCCCCACCCTTCCAGTGCCAAGGCCCAGGGCTGGGAGGGGAACCCGCCCCGCCCTGCCAGCCACCCCCTCGGGCTGGGCACAGGGGCCCTGGCCCCACTCTCCTCTCTTCCCCTTCCCCCAGCTGATGCAGCAGCAGGCGGCCCTGGTAGCGGCTCACAGTGCCTACCTCAGCCCCATGGCCACCATGGCTGCCGTGCAGATGCAGCACATGGCCGCCATCAATGCCAATGGCCTCATCGCCACTCCCATCACCCCATCCTCAGGTAAGGCCCCGGCGAGGCGGGCTGGGCTGGGTGTGAATGGGACAGGTCAGAGGAGCTGCTGCCCGGGGTGTAGGAGGGTGGGGGGGTGGGACACAGGGCACTGCTCAGGGAAGCCAGAGGGTCTGGAAGGGGCTCAGGGGTGAGAGAGTGGCCTGCTTCCTCCCTTCTGCCTGCAGACTTGCTGACTGGTTCTCTGCATTCGTGTGTGTGTGTGTGTGTGTGTGTGTCCCCGCTTCTCTGCTCTGTCTCTGTCGCTTTCTCCTCCCTAGGAACCAGCACCCCTCCTGCCATCGCCGCCACGCCCGTCTCGGCAATCCCTGCTGCCCTGGGCGTCAACGGCTACAGCCCGGTGCCCACCCAGCCCACCGGGCAGCCTGCCCCTGATGCTCTCTATCCCAACGGGGTTCACCCCTACCCAGGTGGGGGTCTCTGCCTGCCCCCGCTCTCTCCCCAGCAACTATCAAAGCCGCCGCTGCCATTGCCCGCAGAGAGCCGTGGCGCCCCTTCCCTCTCCAGGCCTCGGGGTGATAAGCTGCTTTCTCCTGCTCTGTCATCCTTGGGCAGGGATGCTCCTGCCCGTTCTCAGCCAGGGAAGCTGAGGCTTAGAGAAGCCCAGGGTTTGCACAGCCAGTCACAGACTCCACGCTCTGCCCTCTCCCCGCGGCTCTGGGCCTTTGCGCGCTCTCCCGTCACACCCCGTGCCCTGTGAGGCTGTCCTCCCCACCTGCCTGGCCTCTCCTCTGCGTCCTGCCCCACCCTCACAGTCGGTGCTGCTCTCCCCAGCCCAGAGCCCCGCGGCCCCCGTGGACCCCCTGCAGCAGGCCTACGCGGGGATGCAGCACTACACAGGTGAGGAGCCCAGGGCCCCCCCTGCCACCCCGGACGGGAGGGGCGGCGTGGGACCGAGGCTGGGCTGCCAGGCGCCCCGCCCTGCCAGCCACCCCCTCGGGCTTCCTGACGTTAGGGGCAGTGCACCCAGAGTTCAAGGCGGCTCCTTCTCTGACCCCTCTCAGCCCTGTCCATCCCTGTCCACCCCGGGCTGCTGGCCAGAGGGCCCCGGGGGCCGGGCGAGTCTCGGGACCCACACTAGCTCTCTGCTCTCCACCCCGCAGCAGCCTACCCAGCAGCCTACAGCCTGGTGGCGCCCGCGTTCCCGCAGCCTCCCGCCCTGGTCGCCCAGCAGCCTCCACCTCCTCCCCAGCAGCAGCCGCAGCCGCCGCAGCCGCAGCCGCAGCAACGGGAAGGTGCGGCCTGGGCGCCCTCCTGCCAGCCCAGAGCCTTCCGGGACAGGAGCACCCTTGCCCTGGGCTGGGGACTCCCGGTCGCCTGCTCGCAGCCTGCCTCTGGCCCCATGTGCGGGGAGAAAGCGAGTGGGGATGAGGTGTCTGGTGCCCTGGCCTGCACGCTGGGGGCTGGGATGGGAGGGTCTGCCCCAGGCCTGCTTTCCGTGGGGCGCTTGCCCCTGAGTGCTTCCCAATCACTGGGCTCCTCCTCTGTCTCTGCTACCACCCAGGCCCTGACGGCTGCAACATCTTCATCTACCACCTGCCCCAGGAGTTCACGGACTCAGAGATCCTCCAGATGTTTGTCCCCTTTGGCCACGTCATCTCAGCCAAAGTCTTTGTTGACCGGGCCACCAATCAGAGCAAGTGTTTTGGTAAGAATATGATGATCCAAAAGATAAAATACAGCACATTTTTGCCTATGGACAAGGTTTGAGACATTTGAAGGCATTTATGGTCACAGTGGGCCCAAACTTTGAAATCCAGATTGTCCAAGAGTCAGAAAGAGCCTTTCTTACACCCTCGGCATCCCGTACCAGCTGCTGTCCAGGCCCAGCTCTTCCTCCAAAAACTGCAGCTTTACCTTTTCTCCTTGAGCACTGGTCAAATTCATGCTCCACGAGGTCTGGAAGAGGCTCAGGAACGGGATGTTTGGTTTTCAAAAGGAAGGCTTAGGGAGTGGAGTCTTTTGGCTTTGTGTCTAAAAGCTGCTTCAAGGGAGAAGGAGCCTTGTCCTCCCTGCTTGAGAAGTCATGAAGGGCCAGAAGTGGTGTTTTCAGAGTTATCCAGGCTGAGGAAGGGGCTGCCCTTTAAAGAGCGCTGGAAAGAATGTCCTAGTGCATGTGAGTGGCAGGACTGCATTCATTAACTCAACCTATCAATCAGCAGCTACCCATCGAATGCCTACTGTGTGCCAGGCATTCAGGATCCCGGGAGGAAGTAGGGTGGTGCCGGGGAACCAAAGAGCAGGTTCTGGCCCTCAGCACAGGCAAGTGAAGTGGGGTTGGGCTGGGTCTTATGCCCCTCTCACCTCAGGCTTTGTGAGTTTCGACAATCCGGCCAGTGCGCAGGCTGCCATCCAGGCCATGAACGGTTTCCAGATTGGCATGAAGCGCCTCAAAGTCCAGCTAAAGCGGCCTAAGGATGCCAACCGGCCCTACTGAGGGCCCCCAGGTGGGTCCTGTTCTCATCCTGTGACCTCTTAAGCTCCCTCACACTGAAGCCAGGGCCCTCACTTGGACTGCCCTCCCACCCCCC